TTTGAACGGCAAGGCAAACACAGCATGGCGCGGTTATGATGGTGACATTAGAGCAAATGACATGATCGTATTGACTCTCAGTTGTGATGATAGAAAAATTCAAATGCGCAACAGTCGTACAAATAAAGAGTATGAAATACCAGTAGACGCTGACAAATGTGCGCTTCCCTGGCAGTTAAACGTTGTTGTTTATCATCCTAATGATTGTGTACGAATTTTACCATGAACAAAACAAACTTTTAAGTTCGCTAAAGTACATTACCTTTGTACAAATAACAAACAAAAAATAAATGTAATTTATGTTTTTTGACATGATCATATAGTTGATTGAAAACAAGTCTTTCAAGTATCTTTGACATAGCGGGTAGTAAACTTATCGGTCTGTAATTATTAGAAAGCGTACAGTCACCATGTTTAAATAAAGGATGAATGACACCTAGTTTCCATGTATCGGGAAAAACACCATTAGACAACGACAAGTTAGCAATATGTGCAAAGTCATTTGCACTTTCTGTTAAGAGCACCTTTTCGGTCCTCCCCAATGTAGTACCACAAAGAATATATATGTGTGTAAATATCTTGTAGTTACCGTTCTCTCATCTACCTTGTCTAAATATAGAACTAATTTTTCTAACTACTATCCATTGAAAAACACGGTGCTAGTGGTTGTTTTGTAAAGAACTCTTGATAGAGACGAGATAGCTACCTGCGCTTTTCTGTTTTGAGAACTACACACCTGAGCGAAGCAGTAAAAAGAAACCGCAGAGTTCTCAAATGAAAATAGAAAAATTATTCGAACTTTATGTGCGGGAGGCGAAGAACGCGTTCAATTCTTTTTGGTAATTTCTCTTAGTCTTTTGTGAGTGAGAGAAGGACAATTGTTAAGTTTTCATGCACCTAACTTAGTGGTTATGTGCAATACGTACAAAACAAGTAAGTAAGTTTGTAAACTTAAGTCACGGTGTTGATTAGTAATCTTCAGTGAAGATTGAATCATCCTGACATTCTGTTGACGTGCGACGTACATATTCTTAAAATGAGCTGAGAGAAAAATTTACTATGTTTTTTCAAGTTCAGATTTTGCGGTTTCAACCAGAAAAAGAATTAGATTTCTACGATGTTTCTGAGCGGAGGGCTATAGGTGAAGATTTCGGCAAATAGTTTTGTATCGCACGTTATGTGATGTCACATATACATTCTTTACGAAACTCCTTAGGGATAAATACAGAGGGGTACTATTTACCGTACTTTCTCTTCAAATACCAGGCAGCATTTCAGATTTTTCAGTCTGATTTCTTTAATTTCAACACTATCAAACATTTTCAAACTACTTATAAGTTCGTTTCGAGAAGGAGATTTCTTCTTTCATTATAAATTCGTAGCACAATTTAATCAGTTCTCGATGATCAAAAAGAAAGGAAGACTTAAAAACATCAAAACTTTGCGCAATTCTTTCAAGAGTTCTTAAAACAAAAAAGTATCTGTAATGGGAATCTGCGAGAAGTGGATCCAAGAACGAGTTAATACTATAAATTTTGCCAAAAGTTTGTAAAGGCATCTATTTAACTAATTCATGACTAGAAAGTCATAAATAAGTGTGAAAAAGCCTAGGTTGAAAATGATAGCAAAGAATCAGTATCCTAAAAGCCAAAAAAAGTTTTCGAAAAGCTGAAAAACCAATTTGGTATCCTGTAATACCATTTTCAGTATTTCAAATACCGTTCTGGGTATTTTAAAAAAATTATCCGTATCTTACAGAACCAACAGGGTATTTCAAGAATGAAAATACCCTTCTGGCATCCTGCAAAACCAATTTTAGTATTTCATCAAAAAGGTATTTTATTTTCAAAACAAAAACCATTTTAGTACTTTGGGATACCAGTCACTCGTAATCTACTGAATCCTCTTTCGTATCTTAATAGAAATGAAATACGCTTTTTCCAATGGAAAGCCCTCTGGTACCTTAGCGTACCGTTTAGCAGCAGTCGCGAGATCCCTCCAACTCGTCACATCCTCCTCATGTGCCAAGAAATACCGTGCGCAGCTCTCCTACGGACGACTCGAACATGTTTTTATCCTAAAGATCTAGAGCATAAAATAGATAAAATTTGAATCATATTCCTTCAGAATAAATATCCTTCGTCGCTTATGATAAACATACGGTACGTTTTACCAAGATCTGACAGTTGCTAAAACACCAAATATATTTTTAGGAAAAAATCATCAAAAATGCAGAGAATTAGTACTAGGCATAGGATTTAACAAAAAAAAGTGAAAGACAAGAAATAGTCCAGACATTCTCCTTCATTTCCTACGTCCCGTCCCTACCTCATTCCAGATCTCGTTTCATCAAATCGGAAAGATAAATTTAGGAATACTTTATAGCATCTTCTGATAAGAAAAAACTCTGTAAGACAGCAATAAAACTCTTACTCCAATCGCCAGCAGTAGCAGCAGTTGGTCCAGTTTAGAATTGAAAAAACTTCTATGCCAAAACTCCCATCGACAAATCCAATTTTTTGTTTTTCTCTCTTTTTCCTTTAAATTGATAGAAATGATGAACCGTATGCAGGTGCTTGAAATCGATAATTCGAGAGAGCTTGTATTTTGTGGATAGTAAGCTGACTTTGCTCTTTTTCTTTGTCTTCTTTTTTATCATAAAAATCAAAAACCACAAACTAGGGCTGGGCAACTCCACTGGCTTTGAACTCCAACTCCACAAATTCAGATAGAGCTTAAAATTTTATGTATACTAGTAGATTATCAGCATGTGATTGAGAGACACCTTTTCTCACTCAAATCACAAAATATAAAAGTCGACTAAATGTTCCTTATATCGATGACACGATAGAAAAATAAGAACGTGCTTTATCATATGGGAAGAGAGAAAAGAGAGAAGAAAAAAACATATTTTCTCTTTTTCACAGTGAACACGAACTTATATATGCAGAACGGAAAAGTGAAAAACTTAAATTTTAAATGTTCAGAAGCATTTTTATGCAAAACCAATGTGATATTCTGAATCTACGAAAAAAACTGCATCGAATGATATATAATTCGACGTGTTTTGAAAAAAAAAGTTTCCGTCCTAAATTTTAGGCAAAACACCTGAGGGGGGCCTCAGGCAAAAATTTCGACAAGAACTTTTTGTCGGCCTTCAAGACGAAACTTAGGTGAACACCGTTTCTCGACATGCCCAATCCGAATATCGCGGTCTCCCGGCTTGAATCGTTGCGAGGAAAAAGCAGGTAGTTTTCATATGTATAAAAATGTCGTTTCTTGCCGATGAAAACTTATTGGTCCACTTTCGAAAGAAAATTCCCGTTCGGACAAAAACTAGTGTGAAAGATTTTCATTTATTTTATCACTTTCCCTTTGACGGGATACATATGAGCGAAAAAAGTCAACGGAGTCATGAAAAGAATTTTCTATATGAAAGGATATCATTCGTCCTGTTCCTTCAGATGTTGAGGTGATAGAAATATTTTTTCAAAATACCTAGCCGAATTTCGACAAGAAATTGATCGTGACGATCTAGAAGTATGGAAATGAATTTTATTACCTCGATGTTGCATCATTATTAATAAGTAGGTGAGATTAAGTACTTTTAGTCTGTTAGGCTATATAATTTTACGTGATCTGAGTTTAGACCGACGTGAATTAGGTTAGATTTTATCTTTTTGTTTTAGTATAAAGTGTATTTTATTCAGAAAACAATCAAAGATAGATTACAAATGAATTAATGCATTGCGCATTCATGTAGATTGCAGTTCTGCGGCATTTTAATTATATAAAATTCAAAATTTGTACACATAACCAAATTATACTGACTACTATTTACACTAGAATTTGTTTGATGTTTTTTATCGATTATTGTAAGGTGCCGCTAATTCATAAAGGGAATACGATTTTATTTTTCGTTTATTTATGGAAAATATGGAAATTTTTTGCGCCATTTCAGTTTGAAAGACCCTAATCACTTTTTTCTTATTCAGCGTATGAAACTGAGTATAGGAATGATGTTAGGCGTTGTGGATCAAATCACGTGGGGAATGGAAGAAGCTTACCAACGAATGATCTGAAGTTTTATGTTAAGTATTAATCAGCCTTTAAAAGATTATATCATTTTAAAGGTAGAAAGTAACTGAATCATGAAGTAAACAAAACGTCACCTTGATATGACGCACAGTATTTAGTTTATGATGATATATAAAACACACATTGCAACCTCTGTAGCTACGAGTAAGAGTATAATTTACGGTAGCTATCAACAAACTCAAACAAAAACATGCCCGAATCAATCGATACACAACCAATATTACGACCTCTAGAAATCGACGATCAAACTGCATCTGTCATTGCTGTTGAACTCACTGATATGAAGTCACCTAAACAGCAAAAACTACCGAAGTTAAAAAGCAAACTCGGGAAACGCCTTGGTTTTCACGGCAAGAGTCTGTGGGATTGGTTACAATTGTTTTCATCGATGCTTGTTCCCCTCATGATCGGTGTTTTTACCATTGTCACCACAGTTCAACAACGTGAAACAAATCGACAACAACATTTGTCTGATCGACAAATTGCACAATTACAACGGGAACAAGACATGCACGTAGCGTCTGAACAACGAAATGAAACAGTATTTACAATGTATATCAAAGAAATGTTTGATCTTCTCCAACAATCGAATTCAACTTCAATCAACAGTGAAATGACACAAAATCTCATTCGTATAAAAACTGTTACCGCCTTACGTCAATTAGACTCGAGTCGAAAACTGTTCCTTATCCAGTTTCTTTATGTATCGCATTTAATTGGTGTACCCACAATTTCTCAATCCGATGAAGAAGGTGAACAATTGAAGGAAATTGATTTGGCAGGTGCGAACTTGGCTGCAGTCGATTTCAGTCGAATAACAGAAAAAGCATCGTTAAAAAGAGACGAGGAAATTCAATTCGTGTTGCAATATGTTAATTTAGAAAATGCTTCATTTTCGAATTTGAATTTAAAAGAAAGTGATTTCACTGGTTCTAATTTACAAAATGTAGATTTTCGTAATGCTAAACGTGAATGTGTGAAATTCATTGATTGTCAATTGCAATCGGCTGATCTGAGAGTACCAATCGGTTGGAACTGTATTAATAGAATTGATGATCCTGAGGGTCCAGATCCTATGCAATATTTTGCCCAGGTTGATTATACAGGAGCAAATTTAACTGGCGCACAAATCAGTGAAGATGAATTGTCATGTTCGTATTCATTGAATGGAACTATATTACCAAATGGCACGGAAGTCAACGAACATTTCAACGAGAATTTAGTGGAAAATAATGGTGATGATTGGCGTTTTGGGGTTAACAAAAATTGTTCATCAATGGACGGATGGCAAGTAGTCAATGGTTCGATATCAAAAGTTCGACTTGGTGCTTTAGAACAGCTTCCTGGCATTGGTGTTTCATTTCCAGAGTTCAGAAGAAATGAATGTTGGTTTTGGGCGGGAGAGAAATCAAACAGCAGTACAACCACAATGTCCCAAGTGATTTCACTTCGGCGATATTCTCGGTGGATCAAATGGTGTTTAGCGAAATATGTTCTTTATTTTGATTATGCAGGAGGCAAAGATCAGTGTTTGGTAACATTGAGATTTTTGGATAAAAAACAAAATGTTGTGTTTACAGCAGGAAACGATAGAGGTAAGAACAGCCATGTAGTCAGTATTAGTGTTCTGCACGAGTACAACATTTTGTACCCGTGCCCAACCTTACAAAAAACTCTACGCCTGAATCCAAACCCGTCTGATACTAGACGAACTATACATAAACCCGCTAGACGGGATTCATTTGATCGAGTGCTTTGTTCCACATTCTCAACAAGAAAAAAATTTAGTTTAACAACCATAGGTTTTTTATTTTTTAAAATTTTCTTAATAGTAAAAATATATCGTGTACGCTAATTCCAAAAAGGAGCTTTACAAAGTTCCAGAACGGTTTTCCAGAGGGTTTCCAGAGACCGGATCTCCGGAAAACTGCTTAAAAATCATCTTTTAACTTCGAAAACCACTTTTTTAGAAATAGCACACCTGAAAACCTATAAGGAAATTTTTTTATAGACGTCCGGATTCCTTTCAGACCACATGTCCGCCTGCTCTAGCAAAACATGCCCACTGTGCACACAACCTTAATGATTTGCAGACCTAATAATTTGGATTCCTAGAAACTTTATTAAGGCAAACAGAACCTCGTATTTTTGGAAAAAATACCCGAGCCCGAACCGACAGAGTTTTATGGCATCCGAAGCCGAACCGTGCCTGACAGCTTCATACCCGAACCGATCCTTGGAATCTAGTAGGATACGGTCGGTTACGTATCGGATGGCAGGACTCCAGTCAGTATTTACAGGAGTGGATTTCAAGGAAAAATCTTTTGGGCTTAAAGAAATAAAAATTGGATCGCCCTTAAGAGACATTTTCTGAGAAAGTCGGGCAGTATATTAAAGCAAGCCGCCGTGACCAGCACGGATTTGGCTGAAATTTTTACTACTTGTGACTAGAAAAAGGTTAAAATAAAAATTCCCGAAAATGTTTCGTTGCAGAGCAGCGTGGCTCAGTCGGCTAGTGGGCAGACAACGTACTTCAAAGATACGGAGTTTGAATCCCGGCAACGGCGGTCGCGTGATAGTCTTGGAGCAGCGATCTAATGCTCATTGTCTCGGTACCTTTGGACACAGATGCAATGGGATAACCCGATTTCAGTGGTCATTGGACTGGAGAGATGAGAATTAGAGTTTAAAAAAAAAAAGATATGGATGTTCCACCATTACTGGGTATTTAGCTAAAAAATTCACTAAAATTATGATTTTTCGACAATAACAAAAGATAGCGTGCTGATATTTTTACCATACATGTAGATAGACATGACCAGTTTAGAATAAAAAGATCTCAACTTAAAATTGTGTCTTCGATCCAAAAACTGGATTTTTCATCTAAAACTTGTGATCTAGCCTTCTCTCGGCGTGCTCGGGATTAGGACCTGCAACTTTCATGACATATCGAGTAAGGTTAGTACTGTCAGAATTTGGGGCAAAATTTGTTTAGGTAGTTTTCTAAAGACTTTGTTTTCCAGGAGGATCTCCAGAAAACCTCTTCTCCTAAACATTTTGAAACAAGTTCGGAAAGATAGAGCCTGAAATTCTCTACAAAATGAGATGTCCGACTGTGTACGCTGTTTTTTGCTTGAAAGATGAATTCTGTAACACTACATCTGCTTTGTTCACAGGTTTGCTGGAAGCAAAAATATCGAAATCATCTCTTGTCCTTCGAAACGCTATATTCTCATAACAAAACATCGTACACAGTCAGGAGACATCTCATTTTGTAGAGAATGCTCTATCTTTGCGAACTTGTTTTAGAATTTTTAGGAGAATAAGTTTTCTGGAGATCCTCCTGGAAAACCAGGTCTTTAGAAAACTACCTAAATAAATTTTGCCCCAAACTCTGATCATGATTTCTGATAGTACTAACCTTACTCGATATGTCATGAAAGTTGCAGGTCCTAATCCCGAGCGTGCAGAGAGAAGGCTAGATCACAAGTCTTAGATGGAAAATCCACTTTTTTCATCAACGGTCTTTTTTCGATGACATTTTAAAAGTAAATAGTCCAGGCAAAGATACATCTTTCCTGAACATTTCGTTGAAAAATATTGCATCATTCTGGAGACATCCCGATTTGGGTGAAATGTTTAGGTAAAAACCTCATCGTAAGGCGACATCTATATCTTGGAAAGTAAGCATTTCTAACAAGTTTTATTTTCACCTTTTTCTAGTTGCATATAGGTCTACAACTGGTGAAAATTTTCATGCAAATCGGTGAAAGTCACGGTGCCGAGCTGCCTGACTCTCTTAGATTATGGCTCTTAAGCTCTTCAAAAATTTTCTTTATAAAAACTGAAGCTTTCACAATGTTATGACAGTAAAAACATTGCGATTTTTACAGAGATCGTCAAAGAAATTTCTTCTGTTTTGGGTTATATTCGGGACACTTTTAAAAAATTTTGAATCAAGTTCGATTCTCTGGTGTCTTAAAAATGATTTTTTCATATTCACATTCTTAACGGTCTCCAGTTTTGAAAATTTCAGCTTTGCCGATAAGTTTCTGAAAGAGATCTTGCATAGCATCATACCTTTCAAAAATCGATAACTATTAGGTCGTTTGACATAATTTTGGCATGTATAAAAATGAAAAATCGAGCGTTGTCTGCACGTTCTTTTACACTAATAATCTGAACATCTAGCTTTCAACAGTAAATGAATCCGTCACGATGGCGTCGAATTTATTTTTAGTATCTAAAACCGCAAAACAAAATGTTTGTCTAAAAACATTATTTACAAACTGTGTTTCTGTTGCTATCTAAGGTTGGAATGAGGACGACGGCGATCAGAGAACCACGAAAGTAACAATTGAACATTTTAATATAAACCGTGATCCATTTGACTTTTACAATGGTCCGAATACAGTTGATAGTGTCCGATTTGATGTTACAATAATCAATAAAAAACATCAAACAAATTCTAGTGTAAATAGTAGTCAGTATAATTTGGTTATGTGTACAAATTTTGAATTTTATATAATTAAAATGCCG